GAAAAGTCAGATTTTCATGATATGTCACCTTTAACTCATGCATTTTGCATTTATTGAGTGAAAAATTGCAGCCTAAAATAATGCAATTTAAATGATGCACAAATGCAACAGCGGTCATCCATTTTTAATGTCATTCACACAGGAGAGCCAATTGCAAATAAAATGAATAATAAATCAAATGTTTCTTTCTCTCCACCGGTTTAGTTGGGTCATGTACGAGGAGCCGAACTATCGTGGCCGCATGTACGTTGTGGAAAGAGGAAACTACTGCTCATTTATGGATTGGCAAGCTGAGGATCCCAACATCCAGTCTATCTGCAGGGTGGTTAACTATTTCTAAACTTTTACATCCCAAAACAGCCTCACTCTCAAAGGAAAATCAATGTTTCAAAGTATACCCCAAATGATAAACCAAATGAACCTGAACTTTGATTTATATTACTGAATCACACAGCTATGTGCTTTTTATCTTTATGGAATTTCAATGATAAATCAGTTATTTGAGAAGAAAATGCAATTAGCACAGAAATATTCTTGTATGTTTTATTTTGTATTTGTATTGAGGCAATGAGTTGAAATAAAAGTGAATTGTGAAGAAGATGCTGTTCTCTCTCTATCTCTCTCTCTTTCAGATTTCCAAACATTCACTGACATGTTATTAAAAAAACACACTTTTTTTTTTTCAAAGAAAGCTTTCCCAGTTACCTCTAAACATACATAACCAAATATACCTTAAACACATGCTTTAATATTTTTGATACACGCACTTCTCTGCAAAAACACATATGCATTGCAACACATACGCAGAAATTTTAGAAATGTTAAGTGTTTACTTGCTGAAGAGTATGAATTATCCACCCTAATTATCCACATGTAAAAACCACCTAACAACTGCATAGCAACACACTAAAAGCCATGCAGAACACCACCCACATTTTGCCAGTTCTGTTATAATTCAAATCTATTCACAAGGTAATGTGACAAACTTTTGATATCGCAAATACCTCTTCCTTCCTACGTTTAAAAATGTATTGCAAAAACAATGCATATGCATATAGGATATTATGAATTTGTCACTTGAAGTGTTGTTATTGGTAACTAAATCTAAAACTAAAACTATTAAAAATCATTTTTGTATATTTAAATAAAGCTGAAATAAAATAAAATATTTAATATTAGATGAAAAACAAACAAAAAAAAATGTATATATAAATTAAAGCTAAATAGAAACTTAAAAAACAATAAAAATGACAAAAAGCACATTACTAAAATGTAAAAATATACAAATAAAAGGTAAACCTAAATAATAATAAATACTACAATACTATACAAATAATACAACAATAAAACATGATTGCTTAAAGGAATAGTGCACCCAAAACTAATAATTTACTGAAAATGTGCTGTTTTTACTTGTAAAGTGTGCTTGATCTGTGCATATTTCTCTCCTAATTCAGACAAGAAGACTTTTTCAAGAAGTGTTTCAAGAAGAAGTGTTTTCTTACAAACATACAGCTTTTAACTTCACAGGATGTTAACTGATGGACTGGAGTGGTGTGGATTACTTGTGGATTATTGTGATGTTTTTATCAGCTGTTTGGACTCTCTTTCTGACGGCACCCATTCACTGCAGAGCATCCATTGCTGAGCAAGTGATGCAATGCTAAATATCTCTAAATCTGTTCTGATGAAGAAACAAACTCATACACCTCTTGGGTGTCCTAAGGATGAGTAAATTGTCAAAAAAAAAATTTGGGGGGGGGGTCAACTTTCCTTTAAAATAGATTTGACACCTGTTGTGAACTTTTTGGAATCAGATGCATGTTCTATCTTTCGTTCACTTCACAGCATCTTCTCTGAGCAGCTCGTTTAAGCTCAAGGTAACTCAAAAACACTGTGGCCCTGTTTGCTCCTCACTTGGACAACAGTGCGAGTCTTTGTATTGGAAAGTCTGTGAGAGGGGAATATCCTGGGTTTGTTCGTGACAGCTGAGTATCCGGGGGTCTGGGGGAGGAATGTGACCCTCTGAAGTTTTTGTTAGCGGGGGGGAACAGAACGGACAAAGCCGTGACCTCTGGGGTCGAGCAGCGCTAGGGGTTTCTCTCACTCTTTGTGTCGTCGATTGGTTGTAGAGAAGAAACGGCTGACATGCCCAAGATCAGCACTGACTGCTTCACTAAAGATTTGAAACTTTCAGGTCATAAAATAATGTGGTTTAGTACCAGGTGACATGTTTGGTCAGTCTAAAAGAGCACAGTTTGAACAGTACAACTGAACCCAAATTGAACACAGACATGTTAATTTTATTTTTACTTTAGCTTTAGACATTTTATATTTGAGTCCAGTGGTAAAGTAGGGTTAATTTTAATGTGTTTTAAAATACATACAACATATAGTTTAAATAGTGCAAATGAGCACATCTGTAGTATTTGATTTTACTCATTTAGACCATACGATGTAAAAAGCCCATCATATCTAACTATTAAAGTAGTATAATTGTTTGTTGTTCAGGTTTTTGGGACAATATTTAATTATTATTATTATTTTGAGTGGGATGTGCCATTACTTGTATCCAAAATCCACAATTCATTTTAATTTTATTGTATTTTAAATAATATAATAAATCAAGCACATAATTTGTTCTATTTTATTTGAATGCTTTAGACTAATAAACCAGTTATATTTCAGATATTTCAGGCCAGTGATGAAACAGGATGTATCCAAAAGTCCATCATATATATTTTAAAATTAAATTAAATTATATTTATTATTTAATTATTATATCATTTTATTATATTTGTTATTTTATATTTTACATATTTAAATATATTTTAAAATAGTGGACTGCTAAAATTGTATAATTTTCTGTTGTTCAATATTAGACCATTTTATTATTATTATTATTATTATTATTATTATTATTATGAGTTTTACATGTAACATTAATCATCTACAAAGTCCACACTGTTTAATTGTTTATGTTTTTAATCAAATTAAATTAATTTATTTGTTACTTTTTTCATTTTAGTAAACATTTTGTACACATTTGCACATTACATGTTACTTTAATGTTATAGTCTATATTTCAGATATTTACGTAAATAATGTAAATAGGCTACATTTCAGATATTTTGGGCCAGTGATGAAGCAGCATGTATACACAAATGTATTTTAAAATAGTAGCCTGTTAAAATAATTAAATTGTCTGTTATTTATTTATTTATGAGCTTTGATTAGGGTGTGATATTAATATTCTCCAGTGGCTCCAGTTTAATTTTTATGTATTTTTAAATAATACAATGGAGGAAATATAATTAAAATATTAAAAGTTAATATTATTTTTCAAGTTTAGGATGATTTGTATCTGATTTAATGTACTGTAAATAGCTCAGTCGCAATTCAAGCGTATAGTACGTTTATTACTATTTCTCTTGACTGTATTGCTTTCATTGGACTGATGATGAAGCAGCAGTGAGTCCAGTGGCCCTGATGAACATCCGGGTTTCCCGCTGGCACCGCTGCTGTGGCTCGCAGGAGCCATTTTGGACGGCGTTCAGCTTTTCGCATGTCAGTCCCTTCTGCCCCCTCCAACTGCCCCGGCAGAGGGGGAGAAACACACACAAGGGGGCTTCGCTTCTACTCCAAGCGTCCAAACTCACGCACCCACCGAGAGCTCGTCTTTGCTGCTGCTGCTGTCCGGTCAGACTGTTTGAGGCAGCAGGGACTTTCTTTCCGACCGGCGCGCTTCTTCTGAGGGATACATTGTGTCGTTATTGTAGCGGTGAAGAATTGCGTGCAGGCCCGCGGCTCCTTCGCGTTCATGTGTTTCATCTCATTCTTAAATGCTTTCACGGCATAAAGGACAACATTTATCGCCAGGCACCTCGAGGGAAGGAACATGTTTGTTACCTGGCTGACTTTTGCACTCGTCTGGTGCACAGGTGAGGCGTTCGTTTACAGAGATTTGGTTCATCTTCAATCAAAACGATAGTATCTTGTGTGGCTGGCTGTGTTACTAAACCTAGTCACGATGCCTATCTAGACAGCATGCTAGTTTGCAAGTGAAGCACTTAATGCTACCCATGTAGGCAGCGCGCTAGGTTTGGAGACACAGCCAGCGTTACCAAACAAATCCGCTGAGTGTTGGCCTCAGTGTAACCCGAATTAGTTGTTCATTCTTTTAACTCACGTGGGTGTTTTGATATATTTCGTTATTTAGGTTTGATCCAGCTCGAGTAGGTTGTTTTATAGTTGCTTGTGTGATATTTCTGGATGTTTAAAGGCATCGTGGGCACAAAGAACAAAAGTAAAACAGCTGATTTGCTGAAACCATTGCTCTCCACAAAACAATAACTTACGGTTTCACCTCATGTTTTCATTGCAGGTTTATAAGACATTTTAGATATAAAATACTAAGCATTTATAATTTCTTTAGGTGGCTGGGATTGTTGCCTTTATATATGGTCAGTGCGTTTAATCCTTGGTTGTAATAATATGTGGACAAACATCACCTGCCAAAAGGCACATTTATTTAATATTTAAAGCATTTTTTTAGATTAGTTTATTATTCAAAACAGTAGTGCACTTTAACACAATTTAAACAAAATGAGTTGTAATAAAAATACAAATAAGCCTATCTAGACAGCATGCTAGTTTGCAAGTGAAGCACTTAATGCTACCCATGTAGGCAGCGCGCTAGGTTTGGAGACACAGCCAGCGTTACCAAACAAATCCGCTGAGTGTTGGCCTCAGTGTAACCCGAATTAGTTGTTCATTCTTTTAACTCACGTGGGTGTTTTGATATATTTCGTTATTTAGGTTTGATCCAGCTCGAGTAGGTTGTTTTATAGTTGCTTGTGTGATATTTCTGGATGTTTAAAGGCATCGTGGGCACAAAGAACAAAAGTAAAACAGCTGATTTGCTGAAACCATTGCTCTCCACAAAACAATAACTTACGGTTTCACCTCATGTTTTCATTGCAGGTTTATAAGACATTTTAGATATAAAATACTAAGCATTTATAATTTCTTTAGGTGGCTGGGATTGTTGCCTTTATATATGGTCAGTGCGTTTAATCCTTGGTTGTAATAATATGTGGACAAACATCACCTGCCAAAAGGCACATTTATTTAATATTTAAAGCATTTTTTTTAGATTAGTTTATTATTCAAAACAGTAGTGCACTTTAACACAATTTAAACAAAATGAGTTGTAATAAAAATACAAATACTATTTTATCTATCAGGTTCAGTGCCAGTGGTGTCAATATTTCAAATATATCCAAATCATAATAAAATATAAAAAGTTGATCATTGGTTTTAATGTGTCAGAAAGACACAGTAAAGAACAAATAAATGGTTAAACAAAAATGTTAATATTAATAACAAATGGTTATTAATAATAATGGGTTGAGCACTAAGTTGTATTAAAAAAGACAAGGCAAATAAAGATTAGGGCATATTAATAATACATTGGACTTTGGTTTAAGTGACAGAAGTTGGTTAAAATATTATTCGGGTATAATAAAAGCATCAGGCCAACTTGTGTAAAAAAGAAAAAGAGAATGAGCCAAAATAAATCAATAAAAACAAA